GGTTTGGCTGGTAGCTGGTAGCAGTGTGGCTGCAGGAGATGCAATGACCTGAAGAAGCCTTGGTAAAGAGCTTGGCTGATGAACTGCCAAGGTGGCTGATGGAATGCCAAAGCTGAAACAAACATTGCTGACTACAGTAAATTTTTTTCGATTCCATGGACTTCAATGAAGAGTTCAAGGTGGACTGTTCCACTTTGGTTTTATGGTGAAACTTGGAGCAGCTTTTGGACCAGCTTTTGGATAGCCCTCACTACTGGTGGTCGGCTGGTCTTTGGTCTCCTGGGAGCTGCTAGACTGATGCTGTCTTGATGAAGCTATAGTCCAGCTCAAAGTGGTTCTCCGCCAACTTCTCTTCTGTAGTTCTCCGCTTGTGAGGATCATCCATTGCATGGCCCCTCGCGCAGAACTCGCACCAAGGGGCTGGTGGCATGTGAGTTGCCAGATGTCTTTCCACCTCCTCTGACTCGGGCATCTGAGGCACAGGGACAAATGCCACATCAGGTTCTCGTCCTTCTCGAAGTGCTTGTTGTCGTGCACCCTGCTTCTCCACATAGTCCCGGGCTTTTGCTCAGTTTTGCTCTTCTTGCATTGAGGGCTGATTCAGCCTTCTTGAGGCGTGTCCACAGTGTATGCTTGTCTCCATACACTGGTTCATCAAGCTCTCTCAGTCGGGCCTTCATGTCGGCCACTTTGCTCCAACCATGTAGTCGCGGACGATCAGCTCGAGCATGGGCTTCATCTCTCACGAACTCGTCTGGCAGTGGGATGGCCTCCATGGCTTCCTCCTCCTCGTTGATGCCAGCATACTCCCAATCATATTGAGCACCCTGCTCCACCACAGGCGCAACTGTCGCCTTGCTGATGTAGTTCATGGGGATGGCCTCGTCATTCTCAATGAGGATGTAGTATAGGAGTTGCAGTACAGGTAGAGCGGAATCCTGAACTCCAAATCTGGATGGGTCAGGAAGGGCTTGAACTTGTTGCGCATGTCAGCCACGAATCCATTCCTGCTCATATTCCCTGCACTCAAGCCATCTTTGCTTGCCATCTCACTGACCTTGAAGTCGGTCTCCACATTCAGCTTGTTGCCATTCTCGCCCACGATCTTGTAGTTCACCCTCTTCACCTTGAGCTCGCCGAGGCTTTGTCCTGAGATGCCCAGCAACTGGGCTGATGAAGAAGCGTTGCGCTTGTCACCTCCAAAGCTTGGTCGACAGAGGTGTTCATCGCTGCCTGAATCCCAAAGCACGAATTTCTCTCGTTCACGGAGTTGGTATTGTCCTGCAAGGTGCCAAGTGTCGATGCCCTTGCCAGTGCGTCCATGGTGACGCTCAATCATCATCACCCACTTGTCCTCATCATAGTCCTCCTCGATGGGGAAGTTCTCCATCACGTCGGCCCAAGATTCTCGGCCTTCACCTGCGTCCATTCGAAAGAACACGGCATTGGTGCTCCCAGCAGCAGTGGCAGACTGTGGACTGCTGGGCTGTGCATTCGATGGTGATGAACTCACAGCATTGGTGCTGTTGCCTGTCCCTTTTCCTCCACCTTCACGACGTGCTTTGTCTTTTGCCAGGAGTCGGCAGTCTGCTTTCTTGTGCCCCCATTTGTAGCAGTAGGAGCATTCACCATTGAACTTCTTCGTTTGCGCCTTGCCCTTGCTCTTGTCATGCTTGCCGCCCTTGTTGACTCCTTTGTCTTTGCCCTGCTTGCCGCCTTTCTTGCCCTTGGACTCCACAGCGCCAACATCCATAGGCTGTGGACCTCCATCATCTTTGACCTCACCCTTGGCGGTGTAGAACTGGCCTGTCAGGAGGAAGTCACGCGCAAACTTCTTGCCCCGCTCATAGTTGGCGCCGATCTGAGTTCCGGCAGTCCTCAAAGCATTCCTCAGGGGCATAGGTGCGTGCTTCATCAATACGGCAATCTTCATGGAGTCGGAGATCTGCTCTCGGCTCTGGACCTCATAGCGCTGGATCTGCACCTCCCAGCTTTCCAAAGCTTCCAGGAAGTCATTCTCCTTGATGCTCTCCCAGGAAGGTGCGATGATGCCGGACAGCATGGCAGTGTGCCTGCCTCGAACATCTGGCTCGTAGTTCTCGCACAGGGCCTTCCATGCTTGGAAGCCGTTGCCGCTCTCCACATTCATCATGATCTGCAATGCTCGACCCTCCACGCTCTGGGTCAGCAGGTTGAAGAGCACCACGGCCTTCTCTTGACCATTCTGCCCGAGCTCCGCCAGGACGATGTCGCTGTAGCGTTGCACCTGCTCAAATGCTGAGATCAAAGCTTGGTAGCCAGGATCCAGCAGGTTCAGGTATCCTCTGGCCACGAAAGCCCAGGATGGCCAATCTTCTTCCTTGCACGAGAACGACCGAAGCTTTCCAATCGCCCTTGTGTCTATCAGTCCTCCACCTCCAGCTGCATGGCCTCGTCCTGGGATGGCTTGTAGTCCATCTTGCCGTCGAGGGGTTCCAGGATGTAGTGCGAAGGCCTGCGGAGGTGTAGAAGGAGCCGCGCCGTCCATGCCGCTGCGTGCCGCCCCTATGTCGACGGGGACTTAAGCCGAATGCCACCCACGCTCGCGCCTTGGAAAGGCCTATCGAGGCTGACAGGGGGTCTGGAGCCGGATGCCCTGGGTCCGGCTCCGCTACCATGCAAACAGGCAGCTTCACTTTTGAGCAGCTAAAGGGCTGTCGAGTATGTTGTACATGTATGCGACTGCAACATACCCCCGTCACCCCACCCCACTTTAATCACACGACTATATAATCGATGACAATGTTATGAAAGCGATGACAATGTTATGAAAGCGACGACCACGCGATGAAACCGACCACCACGCCGTGAAAACGACGACAATGCTGCTGTGAAACGTATGAAAACACCAGGCGACTGATCAATCGTGGGCAACTATATGATTTGTTTTTTGAGAAAACATTCATTACAGAAGTCAAGCAAAAAGGCCTTCGAATGGATACTGTTTGCTTGATTTCTGTCATGGAAGTGTCAATTTTGCATAACAGAAATGAAAAGAAATGAAACACAAAGTATCCATTCGAAGGATTTCTCCCTGGATTTCTGTAATGACAATTTTCCGAAAACATAATCATAAGCCATCGGTCTTTGTTTGGGGAACTATAACTTTCTTGGAATCATAACGTTTGTCAATAGCTCCTTTTTTGGAACTATACCTCTTGTCTTGGCTCGGGCTTTCGTGCTGGGGAGTTATATAGCTGGTATAACTTACTTTTTGTTATTTTTGATGGCTCAAACTTTAATGCCGGGGCTGGGTTGGCGCTATACTATAACTTTTCTTGGCGCGTGCTTTCGTGTTGGGCAGTTATAGTTATTTGTTTGGAACTATACCTTGTTTTTGGAATCATGTTTTTTGGGGCATAGTTCATTTCTTTCAAGGTTCGGATTTTCATTCTCTGGGGAGTTGGTTTTGCGTATTGGGGTCTAAATGTTTATTTCATGGCTTGGACTTTTGTGTTGGGGTGATGTTGTTGTTTTTTCTAACTTTTCATGGCTCGGACTTTCGTGCTGGGGAGTTATACTATAATTTGTTCGTGGCTCGGGCTTTTGTGTTGGGGAGTTGTAGTTTTTTGGAACTATAACTTGTGTTGGATTCATAACTTCTGGCGAGTTATTTGGAACTATATATGTATATATATTATACTTGCTGTAGTATGTTTTAGGTTCAGATGTTCAATCTGATTGAGATTGTTATGCTGCCACTCTGTCCATGTTGAGCCTTTTGCAGTACGCGTGTAGTTTACGCCACAAACCTAAAAGCAAGGACCACACTGAATCTAGTGTCAGTGTTGGTGACATGGTATTGGTTTCAGCCCAACCTTCTAAAATATTATGAATCATTACGAATCTTGTTTCATGTGAACTACCCAAAACATCCCCAAACTGTGAAATTTGGCACAAAAGGGCTTGCAAAAGCCTTCTTTCACCTATAGGGGCGATCTGTTTCAACACAAGCAGCGGTCATTTGAATCAAGAAGTGTGAAAAGTCGAAAAATCGAAGAGTGTGAAAACAAATATGTCGCTCGAAAAGTCTAAAAAATGCGACAAATCCAAAAAGTCGACGGTGTCCACTTCCAGACTGGACAATTTGAAAAACAAAAAACAAAAATCCGAAAAGCACGAAAAGTTAGAAAGTCCAAAAACACAAAAACAAACTGAAAAGTCCAAAGGTAGAAGAAAAACGACAAGTGGAAAAGCCGAACACTTGTTAATACTTTTGACTTTGACTTTTTGGAGTGTTTTTCATACATGTTCGTTTCGGTTGCGGGATAGCAGTTTACTAGCTTTGCTTGCCTTGACTGTAGTTGTTCACTCATTATTGCTCCTTCCTCTTACTCTAGCTTTACCACCAAAACCCTCGGTGTTCGCTGGCCGCTGTTGGGCGCGAGCCCTTAATTATCATTACGCGACTGGGCCTCTGTAGTCCTTCCAGGGAAGGAATATGCACGAACAAAAAGCAGTTCAATGTGGCAATGCAACAAACACGAAACAAACAATGGATCGGTACACGACCCCTTGCACTCCAGCAGTTCTTGAATAACGGTTATTCAACAACCCGGGATATACATAGTGACATAGTGGCAGTTCCAAGTGCGTCGCCCCGTGGAGATGGCCTATCATCACGCAACACTGTAGCTTTAACTTTATCGTCAACCGGGTGTCCAAAGTAAATGGTGTGTGGTCCGGGTGTCATTTTGAGAGACTGTGTGAACTGATATGATAAGGAAAGTCGCCGACAGTTCGGCAAGGGCCAAAATATCCGGCTAGAGCGTGCTCAAGTCAAGTCTGACTCCCCAAAGCCCCAAAGAAGCGCTTGTATAAGTCAGTGCACTTCTAAGTGCAACAAACAAATGAAAACTGGCCGTCTACTAATTCGTGTTGCGCTCGTTCCATCAAAACACCCAATTTGACCAGAATTGAAACATTGAAACACATCTTGCACTTCGTATGGCCAAGTGCGCCTGCTCGATTTGCTGCTGGATAGCACTGATGGCACTTTCGGCGTCTCCCTGAGGACAGGTGGTCAATGGCAGTCACAGCTATGCCGGAGCAAACTCACAGGGATGCATTATCATGTCGTATCTATTGAATCCAGTGATCACAATCTGTCACATTTGCCATTCCAAGGAAGTAGCCAACACAAAACGCCGCTTGCCTCCTCGTGCTTACCTCTTTCACAACGTGTCTCAAGTAGCTTCAGAGCTCCATCATCATCTGCTTCCCCCATTTGATCTTCACAAGCCAACACTTCATCATCTTCTTCTTGGACATCACCGTGGTTGACACCTGCAGCTCCAGCTGCAGCAGCAGCAGCGGTTGTCATTTGTTCAACAAGTTGGGAGAAACTCTCAGCCCAAGTGTGAATCGTGCCAGCTACCACTGTCTGGAGTGTGCAACTATCAAGCTCGTCAAATCCATCAGCCATCCAAGGCGGCTCCCAACCCGCAAGAACTTCATGGCTGTCTGCATCCAGTCCTTCCTGCAAGCGCTCTTGAACTTCTGAGTCTTCAAGAAGCTCCATTGCAGCAACGAGCAAACCAATCGATTCAGATTTTGCAGTTCCTGTTTCTGCTCTTGCTTCTGTATCAGGTTCGTCATCCGTAACGCCCTCCAAGTCGATACCCAAAAGATGCATTTCTTCCTCAACTGGCTCACTGTCATCCACAGGCAGGAAAAGAACTTCAGTAAAGCGCCGCACCATGCGGATGTGAGCAGCCACTCCGCCTCCACCGCAACGTTGAGTGACCAATTCGCGAATCATTCCAACATTGGCGTCTTTTGGAACACAAAGATGCAGAGTTCCACCCGAACCTTCCGCAGTGATTGAGCGGACAACTACATCCATTTGGTCGGAGGCGGGCAACTCTGGTGGCTTTGTACTCTCATTCACAACCAAATCTGCAAGTTGGATGATGCGTTGAGAGCCGTCTCTACCTCGAAACAATTCATTTCAGGCAAACAAACTGCAGCATCTGACAAAATGTCAACACGTAGCTGAGGCAGTCGGAAATGACTTGCTTGTGCCTGCTCCCTCTCCCTCTCTCTCTCTCTCTTCTCAGCTATGTCTTGACTGTTCTTGCTCTCCCTCCCTCTATATCTCTCACGCATGTTGCCGTCTTCCTCTCCAGTAGATATCTATCGGTATGTGTCTGTATGTATACATGTATATATTTGTCAACTACACAAACGAGCCTGATTGGTTCTGCCAAGGGGATCGTTTTGCAACGCGACCTCCTATTAGCTGCAAGAACTTGTCAAGAGTTTCAACCTGGCATGACTGTTCACAATCAGGAGCCTTCAACAGCATTGCTATGAACCAAAAGTCCACGTGCCTGCCAGTCCGTGGCATTCTCCGGGACTTCAACCAACAAAGTAGTCTCCTAAGTCAATGAAGCCAAACACAAAAACATCAAGGTCAAAGGTGTAATTACTCAGTTCATCCATCTAAATCGAACATACAAGTCTGCATGCGTGACGCGAGAAACAAAATTCGACAAACACCAGGTGTTTCTCAATCTATATATATGGGGGTTGTTCCTTATTCAGTTGCAGGGCATAAGGCTGAAAAACCCTTGCGCTCGCCCTTGCGCCTTCTTGCGCCTATGAGGGTTTTTGCATGTTTTGACTGTTCTATTTGTTTTTGTATTAGCAAGAAAACGTGGCGCGCCCGACCTGGAAATGAGAAAAGTAGTAGCAATAGTAGTAGTAGTAGTAGTAGTAGTAGTAGTAGTAGTAGTAGTAGTAGTGATAGTACTAGTACTAGATATAGATATAGATAAAAACAATATATGTATATATATAAACCTTCGCTCGCCCTTGCGCCTTCTTGCGCATACCAGGTAAAAACAACCCAAAAACTGATCAATCTTTATGACATGTCCTCTCTAAAGCCTGTCTCTATACGGGGGTTTCCAACGGCTCCCATATATGTTCATTTCAACCTGCCACTGGTTCCCGCAGTACGCTCTTTTCCATAAACTATTGCGGTGCTGTATCTTCCCCAACTCCAAATCAGGTGTCCTTAAAACAGCAAATTTAAAAAAACACTGTGCGTCCTCTTTTCCTGCTGCATTCAAAGGGTTTGTGGCCTCGGGTGAAAACAAACAGGACAGGCCTTTTCCTCATACTGTTCCTGCTCATTCTCTAGTTGATGAACCTCATCTGCGACAACATCTTGTGGCACTTTGGGCTCGTCCTGAACTTCCTCCACCTCCAAACCCGGTGATTCTAGCGAATCCTGCACCATGCTGCAATGCTGGACAAAACGCTTATAAATATTGACAGTTTCTGCTCCCCTAACTAGTATATATATATATATGTATGCAAACTCTCTATATAGAAACATACATATACCAAGGCGTCACTCTGGAACGCTGCATGATGTGCATGACCTTCAGTGCTTGAAAATTTGGAGAATGGACTCCTCAATGTTTGATACCCCCTCGGCAAAAACTTATTGATCCTCAACTTAAAAGCCTGAAAGGATATAATATGTGAAGCACTTTCAGTGTAAACCACAGCTAGCGTGCATAGCCTGTACAGCATTCTGACAGGAAAAGTTCGCATGGTAGCGGAGCAAGGATAAGGCTAACCCCCTTTGAGTTCCAGAGACAAGCCCTTAGGCCACTGGGATCCCGGGTGCGACTTCGAGCCATAGATTTGGCGCCTATGAAGCTAGCAGTCCATAGAGCTTGACGCACCTGGTTTTCTCTTCGGTAGTTGCCAAGTCCATGTCCAACTTCTCATTTGGCTTTTCATGAATTTCCTTCAAGTCCTCGATGTAAGCCTCATCAACTGCACTCAAATATTTCTCAAAAACCCATGACCACTTCCTAAATGCCTTCATTTATTCTTCTTGTGACTTGTAGTCAAAGATGTTGGGCCCTGGGCTTTGCTAGCCATTTTGACCAACCCGTGCTATAGTTTGAAGGATTTTTCTGATCTCCTCCATCTCCACTGTGCACTAGTGTCTTTCTGACACAACGTACGGGGTACAGAGTGTCGCTCACAACATTTTATCACCCAAGAGCACTGCAATTGGTGAAAGCTGTGGAGGACTCCAATGGAGTTGATGCCTGGAGGTGTTTGAACAAAGCATTGAAACCTACTTCAAAGGCTAGAGGGTTAGCACTTTTGGGAGCAGCCACTACATGGCCAGCGTGTTCAATGAGCAGCGCACTACAACCTCAACTTCTGAAGCTTGAAGAAGTATTTGATGGGACCGTCAAGGCAGGGACTACAGTTCAAGAAGAGTTGAAATCTGCTATTCTTGTGAGATGTGTAGGTGGACAACTCAAATCACACTTGAATTTGACCGTTGGCGACAATGTTCAATACTCAGCTTTGAGGGAACAAGTGTGGCAATGGGATCGTTCTCAGCAGAAGTGGGCTACTCCCATGGCGGCAAGTAGCAGTACAGACTATCCAATGGACATTGATCGAGTCCAAGCGGCCAAAAGAAAGGATAAGAATGGCGAGAATTTCCATCAGAAAGGCAAAGGTAAGGATGCAAAGGGCAAAGGAAGGAAAGGAAAGGAGATCAGAAAGGAACAGAAGGTGATCAGAAGGGCAAAGGTAAAGGCAAAGACCAGAAAAGTAAAGGCGTGGTGTGGCAACATGTTACACTTGTGGAAAGAAGACTGTTGGAGGAACAATATTCAACAGGTAGCAAGTGATCCAGCCCATTCATCTTCAGGGCATCAGCGACTACTCACACAGTTGGTCAACAACATGCGAACGCTAGCCAGCAGAGTAGCTCAGCAGAGACCAAGCCAGTGGTCAGGAGAATTGAGAACAGTGAGAGCCAATCATCTTTGACTTGCGAGAAAGGGATGCTGAGCTAGAAGATCATGGAATTCGAGTCACTTCTACATTAGCGATGATGATGATGATGATGATGATGATGATGATGATGAGCCAGAGACCCAAGAACTCGAGGAGATTGACATCTCAGATGATGACCCCACGGTGAGGAGACTTGGGGAAGAGAATGAAGATATGGCCATCATTATTGACCGTGGAGCTGATGTACGAGTTTTTCCTTTCCTTTGAGTATGGCAGATCATGGGGAATGTGAAGTAGAGTTCAGCACAAAGACGCAGCTACAAGATGCGCAGGGGAATCGTATCCCCACCGGGGGTGCGAAAAGCGTTGAAATTTCCTTGCGTGACCTTGATGGACACGAAGTACTTCTCAAATAGAATGTGATCTTCAGCTCAAAGGTGAACCAGCCCAAACTTTGCTATGGAAGACTGATGGAGCATGGTTGGGGAATCAACAGCAGAGAGCAAATGTTGGAGACTGGTGACATGAAGGTACTACTCAACTTGCAAAATCACTCTTTGACAGTTCAAGGCCTCATTAGTCATCAGATATGAAGATGAAAGCTGCGCAAGTACCTGAAGCTTTAAAGGCAGCAGGTTGGAGAGGTAGTTGGAAGCTTATTGACTTCAAGATTTTTTTGTGGGCCCCACAGTCATTCCAGAAGTGGAAGAGTCACCAGAGTTGATGAGAACTACTTTGGTGAAAAGAGGAAGTAAATGGCTAATGCCTGAATATTGTGAAAGCATGATGAGAAAGGAAGAACCTGCTGAGCAATTCTTTGATGGTGGTGCATCCATTCCTTCAGTCACAATCTTCAGCTATGAGCCAGCACCACCAGAAGATATGAGATCCTTTGCACCAGGATAAAAGATGCTTGAGAACAGAGAAGGGAGAAAGAAAGAAGTGGAGCAGGCAATCGAAGAAATCACCCCTACTCCACCGGAGAAGGAGGTATAAGGTCAGAAAGAAGAAAAGAAAGACGAGGACCTTGAGTGTGAACTACAATTGAGACCAATGGATGTAGACAAAGTCTTGGTGAATGGAATGATAGAATTGACGGATTCTTCTTTAGCAACTTTCAGGGCAGCATGTTCATTTCTCTGCATTTCAGGCAGTGGCTTTAAGCTATATAAAGGTCTAGACTAGACAAAGAGCCTCAATCACAACAAGAAATAGGACCTCTTGAACGCCAAAAGCTTGGTGCGTGAAGCAAAAGCTCAAGAGACAGGAGAGGCATTAGCCCTGAGAGAACAGATGGAGTGAAGAGAGGAAGTATCACTGAAGCAAGCTTTGTTTTTTGCCACACAAGACCGAGGGATTCAGAGACAAAGTCAGCAAGAGCAGTATGTTGGCTAGTTGCAACTGACAGCCAGACTGGATTCGTTCATGTTGCGCCATTAGGAAGCAAGAACCAATTTCGCCAAATTGCGCGAGAATAGATGATTTTAGGTCAATTGTTGGGGTATTCAGCAATCACCTACAGGATTGACAATGAACCCACAACAATACAAAACCTCAAGATGCTGATCAATGCTCGCCACAGTCTAGGACTCACTACAAGATTGATCACTCCAAAGCTTGGAGATCATTCATTTCTGTCAGAAAACACAGTTGACAGAGTGAGAAAAACGCAGGAAGTTTCACTGAAGGCGTGCAGTCAAGACGTGGTATCAAGATAGGATCAGATCATGCACTTTGGACTTGGGCAGCAAGACACTTGAGCGCTGAAAAGATTTCAGCCAGTCAAGGGTGCAACTCCCTATGAACTTGTCTCTGGCAAAAGTTACAAAGGACTTTTGGCTGAGTATGGTGAACCAGTTCATGGTTACATCAACAAGGGAAAAACAAGATGGCGTCTATGTTTGTTCTTCAAAAACGCTGAAAGGCAAAATGCCTATGCGCTGACAGATGGTGTGCAGGAGTGCTGAGTAAGTGCATCAGGAGAACAGATCAGGATTGGCCCAGATATTTATCAACCTACAAAAACTTCAATGCCTATTCATGGGAATACCAACCAAACTTTGGAGGCAGAATCATTGCCACAAAGAGGAGAGCAGAAGCATGGCAAGCAGCACAAACAGATATTCCTCGAGAGCATGTGATGTTGAAGTTCAAGGGTGAGGATGCAGAGGCAGTGATGGCAAAAGCTCTTGAAGGAGGAAGTGACTAGAGAAAGAAGAGGCACTATTCCCACAACCAACGCCGATTCCAGCCCCGCTGGAAATCCCTGTGGAAGCAACGAAGAGAGATGGAGGCGAAAGGAAGCTAAGTGGAAGAGAAACACCAAGTAAGAAGCAGAAAGTTCTCTTTGCAGATGAGAAGAAACTTGGGAAGGTGAAAGCATTTCCATCCACATCATTGCCAGCAGGGCAACCCAATCCAGTTACTCCTTTACGATCTTCATTGAGATCACCATCAGTGCCTTCAAGACCGTTGAATTGCTTGAAGAAAGTCCTATGAAGAAGTCCAGGCCCTCAGATGGTTCAAGCAAGAAAGCCAAGATCAATTTGGTGAAAGTTGCAGGTGAAGATCCTTATCATATAGATGAAGAACTGCCCCCAGTTGCGGAAGAAGTTGATGAAGAAGACTGGGAAGAAGATGATGAAGTGAATGGACCTGAATGCTTGCGGTGTGATGGAGAACATGAACCAGAAGAAGATCTGGAAGAATGGATAGACAGAGTAGCTGATGAAGTGGAAGAGAAAAGACTCCAGAAGATGCAGGTGCTAGAGAGACCAGAAGGTAGCGCAGAAGGAACCAGTTTCCTGACAACACGCAACGTGTATGACTGGAGACAGAAATCTTACTTACCGCCATGAAGATGGAACAGCAACCAAGATGTGAAAGAGAAGACTCAGGGAAAAGAGATGACATTTTTTCACCAGCGACTTCAGGACATGTACCGAAGCTTCCCGCAATATTTTTGCAGAGAGTTAGTGAGGAGGAAGAAGCAAGAGAGGGAGAAGGCGCATTTTCCCAGATGCTAGGATGTTTTGGTGTGAAAGATGCATTTTTGCAAGTTCCACAAGAGAAGCCATTGAAAGTGAACTTGAGAGGAGAAGAATTCTTGGCGATGATAAGTTTACCTGGGCAAAGAGTTTGCGCAAAAGAATGGGTTGACTTTTTCACAGAGTACCCCACCGAGGAACTAAATTACAAGTTCAGTGCTGAGTGTCCATGCCTAAGAAGAAATGAAAAGAGTATCATTTTGATTCATGTGGATGACTTGATTTTCACAGGTTGTTCAAAGTAGATCAATGAAATCTTTTTCCAAAGATTCAAGACAGGTTTGGCACCAGTGTGAGCAAAATTGAGAGGCTTGGTGATGAGTTTAACTTCCTGGAGAAAAGTACAAGCTTGAGAAGGATGGACTTTGGGCCCAGCCAGGTAACTACACGGTAGGCGGCTGATAGAACGCCGCTTCGTTTTATCATCATGACAGGTTGTTCTCGCGTTGGTTTTTACAATGAATTCTTCTTTTCATGTGAAAATGGATGACCCAGAACGTCCGGACAAACTACTTCATTTTGTCACCTTTGCTTCCACAAGTGCGTCAACAAGTGCGTCAAGTGTTCGTACACACAAGCAGGAGTGTCAGAGCCATGCCAAGAGACCACCCCACCCCACCCCCATCCCCAACGTAGCATCAACTTCATGACGTAAGCGCCAGCGCACGTTAACATGCCCCACCCCAGCCCCATCCTCAACGTAGCATCAACTTCATGACGTAAGTGCCAGCGACCGTTAACATGCCCCACCCGACCCCACCCCTGTTCCCCAACGCAGCATCAAATTCATGACGTAAGTTTCAGCGCACGTTGACATGCCCCACCCCACCCCACCCCAATCCCCAACGTAGCATCAACTTCATGACGTAAGTGCCAGCGACCGTTAACATGCCCCACCCCACCCCACCCCAATCCCCAACGTAGCATCAACTTCATGACGTAAGTGCCAGCGCACGTTAACATGCCCCACCCCACCCCACCCCCATCCCCAATGCAGCATCAACTGAAAAGCAAAAACGTGAAGAAAAGCTGGCGGCGTTCTATCAGCCGCCAGCCAACTACATTCAGTAGATGCCGAAAGCCTATGAAGAGCAGATTGGGAAGATCAAACTTCCGCTGTTACCACCAGACAACTCAATTCAGATGGAAGAAACTTCAGAAGTCTTGCGTGAACAAGAGACGATCAGTCTTTTCAGAAGCATTGCTGGATCAGGAATCTACCTATGCCAAGAAAGGTATGATGTAGCACTTACAGTGAAGGAATTGGCTTCAAGAATGTCAAATCCAACAGCTACAAATGTCATTTCACCGCTTGAAGAAGTTCCCAGGATACTTGAAGAAGACTATGGACTATTGTCTAGTAGTTGAACTTGCACAAGCAGGAGCTTCAGGAGGATTCCATACATTGAACAGTTGTCCATTGTCCAACAGCAGCAGGACACAGAAGATCATTAGCTTATCTTCATGTGAAGCAGAGTTGCGCGCAATAGTTTCTTCAGCGTCAGATGGAATCTGCATTCGCTCAGTTCTTGAGTTTGCTCTTGGGGCAAAGGTGGACCACTATGTCTTCACAGATTCTTCAAGCGCGCGCCAGCTTGTGATGAAGAGAGGAGTTGGAAAAGTTAGACATTTGGGTGGAAAGTTGTTATGGACTCAGACTAGTAAAGACTTCAAGATGGCACAAGTACCAACAGATAGCAACATGGCAGGCATGAATATCAAGCGACTTGGAGGGCAAAGAATCAGATACTTGATGAACCTCTTTGGGTATTGGCGTAGTGAAGAGCAAACAAGAGTAGAAGGGAGTTAGAGAAAGATGTTCGAAGAGAAAGAGAACTTTGCAGAAAGGTCAACCAGATTGCCAAGATGATTGTGAGAATAGTAGCATTTGAGGGCTTGCAGCCAATGGTAACAGAAGCATTCTTGAAAGAGAGAGGAAACATCCAGCGTGGGATGGAAAAAGTGAAGGGATCCAATGAAAGCTGGAAGTTCTGGATCGTTGTGATCATTGCGATCAACATCATTGGTTTTGCAGCAGTGGCCTTTGTACTATGGAAACTCTACAAGCATTTTGAGAATGCTACTATACAGCTTTCGAAAACTATGGAAGCTACTCGTTTCTCAGCACGAGAAACCCAATTCAGCTTCTAAAGACTAGAAAATAGGATCAGAGCTTGTGAAGAATTTGAAGAGAGAACAGACATTCTTCACACTATGCCAGGAGAATGCATTGTGGATTGATTCTCAATGGAGGCTTTGTTGAAGTACAAACACCACTGTCATCAGTTATGATGTACTAGGTGAGATGAATCCAGGAAACTTCTTAGCCAGAAGGAGCGTAGAGGATATGAGAGCAACAGAAGGACAATATCAGGGTTACCGAGTGATGTTGCAGGCAGCTATGGACGGAGCAACCCCATCAGAAGGACCATTGAACAGAATGTTCAGAGCAGGGAATAGAGAACATTCGAAAAGAGTGGAGTATGAGGTAGAGCAAAAGCAAACCAAATGTGTGGTCGACTGAAACCAAAGCTGGAGCAACTCCATGAAAGACATTGGGGTCTACTAGGAAGAGGACTAAAAGAGGTAGCAGACCTAGTTGAAAGTGAAATGGAGAAGTATCAAGAGCTGCTAGAATGTGCAGTTATGAGAAGAAGACAATCCAGATAGACCGCCACCAAGAATCTCTGGGAATCCCGTTCCTTAGATAAAAGAGAAAGCCTGCAGAAACATGATAGAAACAGAATTGGCTATAGTGGCAGAGTGAGCTGTAAATAGCAAGGCGGTCGCTCACACTACGAAGAACGAGTGTGAAGCTTTTTCAATGTAAACCACAGCTAATGTGCATAGCATGTACAGCATTCTGACTCCATTGCAACCCATTGCACTTGCAGGGAAAAATTCGCAATATAACATCTTAAAAACAGCAAGCTAAAAGAAAAGCGCCGCGCGTCCTCTTTTCGTGCTGCATTCGAAGGGCTTGTGGCCTTGGGTGAGAACCAAATAGGACAGGACACGCCTTCTGTTCATATGGTTGAACCTGCTCACGCTCTAGTCAATGAACCTCATCTGCGACAACATCTTGTGGCATGTGGGGCTCGTCCTGGACGTCCTCCACCTCCAATCCCGGCGATTTTAGGGAATCCTGCACCATGCTGAGCAAAATGCTTGAATATTTCATCATAGACATTCATGGATCCATTTCCATCCATTTTCACTACACACTACAGTAACACTGACATCGCTTCTGAGCTGCTGTTTCCCTGAACACTCCATACAACGGTGTCCAGTACAAGTATCTCTTTAGGCTCTTATCTCGATTGAAAACTACAGCTTCTCCCCAAACTAGTATACGCAAGCAGCCTGTCTGGAATGCTGCACGATGTGGATGACCATGATTGCTTGAAACATTGGGGAATGGGACATTGAACCTCAGAACGAAAGTGATTCTTCACTTTCAGTTTTTGACAACTTATTGATCCGAATGTTCCAAAATCCTCAGCATGACATTTCAATCAACTGTTTTTATGCCATGGTGAGGAGCGTGTTGCCATGGTCGGGAGTTTTGTGGTTTTAAATGGTTTTAATTTTCGATGTTGTTTGTGGGTCCTCGGGTTCAGGATTGTTGTTTTTTAGTGTTAGGGAGTTCGCGTAAAGCGACACACACACAGAGGTAATTATAACATTGTAGTTGTGTGTGTTTGGGGTTGTGTCTTTGCGGTCGTGTTTGAGCTCGTGTTGTGGTTGTGTGTTGCGGTTGTGTGCTGTGGCTGTGCGCTGTGGTTGTGTGTTGTGGTCGTGTGTTGTGGTTGTGCGTTGTGGTCGTGTGTTGTGGTTGCGTGTTGTGGTGTTTGTGATTGCGGTTACGGTCGTGGCTGTTTGGGTTGTTTGCGTTTGTGTGTTTGTGGTTGTGGTTTAGCGTTTGTATTTGTGGTCGTGCGCTTGTGGCTGTGGCTGCGTTTTTGTGATTGTGCGTTTGTGGTTCTGCGCTTGAGATTGTGCGTTTGCGATTGTGCGTTTGCGGTCGTCTTTGTGGTCGTGCTTGTGGTCGCGTTTGCGCGGTTGTGCGTTTATGGTCGCTTGCTTGCGGCTGTGTTTGCGACCGTATGTCTTTTGGATTGCGCTTTGTGGTCTGCGTTTTTTTTGGGGGTTGTGTTTGCGATTACGTGTTTGTGATTGTGCGCGTGTGTTTGCGACTGTGTGTTTGTGGTTGTGGTTGCGGTTGAGGCCCTGTAGTGCCCACTGCGATCTGGCGCTTGCTGTTGAGGTCCCGTAGTGCCCACTGCGATTTGGGGCTTGATGGGGCGGTCCGGGAGCACCCACTGCAATCATGCACTTACAATTGAAGTAGTATGGCCCATTGCGATCTGGAGCTGGCAGTTGAGGTGCGGTAGTCAAGGAGACGAGGAGGGGAGAAGAGTCGAAGGGAAGAGAGGAGAAGAGGAGAAAAGCTCTGCTAAAGTCTAGCCACTCTCACCTGGGGAAATAACACTGTGCGACTGTGCGTCCTCTTTTCGTTCAATGTTTGATACCACCCCAACAAAAACTTATTGATCCTCATGTTCTAAAAAAACTGAAAGGATATAACTTACAACATCTTGAAAGCAGCAAACTAAAAGAAAAGCGCTGCGCGTCCTCTTTTGGCGCTGCGTTCGAAGGGCTTGTGGCCTTGGGTGAGAACCAAATAGGACAGGACACACCTACTGCTGAACCTGCTCATTCTCTAGCCGATGAACCTCATCTGCGACAACATCTTGTGGCATGTTGGGCTCGTCCTGAACTTCCTCCACCTTAAAGTTCGGTGATTCCAGCGAATCCTGCACCATGCTGGACAAAACGCTGGAATTTTGCATTTTAGATTTTCATGGAGCCATTTCCATCCATGTCCACTAACCCCTACACTAACACTGACATTGGACATCACTTCTGAGCTGCTGTTTCCCTCAATCACTCCATACAATGGTGTCCAGTACAAGTACCTCTTTATGTTCTTACGTCGATTGAAATGAAGTGGATGACAATGAAAACAATGAAACAAGTACTGTATCTATAATCACTCTATTTTTGGAGCCTCTTACAACCTGTTTAGCTATGTCTTATTTGCAACTTGCAAGTATCGTTGGATATATATTTGGACACCTTGAAACTTGAAACTGTGCATTTTTCAAGGCGTCCAAATTATTCTAATTGTCCAATAACGACACAATTGCAACCAGCTGGTGCGCATATACAATTGCAACCAGCTGTTGCCTATGATGCCAGCACGCAACATGTATTGAGACGTAGACTGCTGAGAGGTCCTTTTCATGGAGCTGGTGATGCAAATGATACAATGACGAGAAATCCATGTTTTCCCCCACTCATGCGGAATATGCAGTTTCACCCCCAAACGAAGCTGTCCCCGTAGCTGAAGCACGCGTAGTTACAGTTTAATGCCCCAGCACCTTCGGTGCGGGCATATATATGTTTGTAAATACTAGTGAAAGGAGCAGAAACCGCAGCTGCATTCATCTCCAAGCCTTGTCTCGATCAAGCACATTGTAGAGTTTTTTGTACATATATAGTAACTCTATTTTCGACCTTTTGAAAATGTACAATTTCAAGGGTGTCAAAAAGTAGATCGAACAATGCTTGCACATTGCAATTAAGACATAACTTAACTAAACCATTTGTAAGAGGGTCTAAACATAGAGTGATTCTAGAGACTTCTTTTACCCTCTCTCTGACAGCCACTGGCGCAGGCGGTTGTTGTCTCGAAGCGACCTGAATATATTTGTCACTCTGGAATGTTGCATGATGTGGATGACCTTTGGCATTTGAAATTTTGGAGAATGGAACATTGAACCTAAGAAAAACAACAACTCTTCAATGTTTGATACCCCTCGACAAAAACTGTTTGATCCTCATGTTCTAAAAGACTGAAAGGATATAACATCTAAAAAACAGCAAATTAAAAAAAAACACTGCGCGTCCTCTTTCTGCGCTGCATTCGAAGGGCTTGTGGCCTCGGGCGAGAACCAAATAGGACCGGACACGCCTTTTGCTCAGACTGCTGATCCTGCTCAGCCTCTAGTCGACGAACCTCATCTGCGGCAACATCTTGTGGCATGTTGGGTTCGTCCTGAACTTCCTCCATCTCCAAGCCCGGTGATTCTAGAGAATCCTGCACCACGCTGAGCAAAACGCTTGAACATTGCATGACATTCAAACATTCATGGATCCTTTTCCTCTCATTTCCACTAAACACTACAGTTACACTGACATGGCTTCTGAGCTGCTGCTTCCCTCAATCACCAGGTTGCTTGCTCTCCATACAACGGTGTCCGGTAGAAGTACCTCTTTATGTTCTTACCTCGGTTGAAAGCTAGAGTTTCTGCTCCGGTTTGAAAACTAGTCAAAGGAAGTTTAGTGTGCAAAACTTCCGTGTTACGGACGTTCAACAGCTGTTCAACCACCACTCATCATACACCACTCATCATACACCACTCATCATACACCA